CGAGAAGGCGGAGCCGCTGTGGGACACATCGCCGCCGCCCCCCGCCTCGGGCGCTGACTGAGGAAACCCGCAGAAAGGAGCGGTTCTGCTTCGGGCCGCGGTGGCACCGCGTGCGGCTTAGAGGAGGCCCCAGCCAAGCGGAAGCGGCGGGACGCATCTCCTGCCGGAGGGGAGCCGGCCCTCAGTGGGGTGTGCAGCGCTTCGTCCTGGCTAAGGCTTACTTGTTAAAGTGCATGTATTTCATATAATAGATGAAATCAAATGTTATCTTCTTAAGATTTTTATGGAAATAGGTATCCAGGCAAGGAGAGACCTCCTTAGTGTCCTCAGTGAGGGATAGACCACAAGGTGAATGCAGCCGTATTAGAGACTAAAGTATTTGTGAAGAAAGACGTTGGAACCCAGGCTTCTTTAATTCTAGTTTTTAAAAACTGCTTGAATTGAAATGGCAAAATTAGATGAAGAACGCTGCATATACAGAATATGCAGAATAGCTGTGGGTGTGTTGATATAATGACACGGGGGAAGGAAGATTTGAAGATAGAAGAGATCTTTTTCATTAGACTGGCTACCATGGTTTGACCTAATAAAAAAAGGCAAATAGAATATGAGAGAATTACCTTAAATCTGAATTATCTGAGAATGTAAAGCTACCATTCTAAAAGTAATACAGTCACTTGTTACGATCATTTAGTTTTAATGATAAATATCTTTCAAACAATTTTCATGGCAGTGGTATAAATATCTAACAAAATCTAATTCTATGAAATGGTGCCATTTAATATTGTTTATAGGTGAACCCTAGATTTTATGACTAATCATAGCTTATTTTTAATTTCAAAGGCAGCAATTAAAAACTAAAATGAAATTGGAGCTCTTTTGAACTTGTAAACCTTATGGCTATTTATATTTTGCATTTTTAAAGATATAAGTAAAATCACTGAGATAATATTTGGCATGTTAAATGTTTCACAGAAAAATGATGCAAAATGTGCATCTGGCTCCTGAGGCTGATGAAGATGATCTTTATTCTGGCTACAATGATTATAATCCCACGTTTGACACAGAGGTAAAAATATTTGCTGTTTCCCACCTTTCCCATACATAGGATTTTAACTTCTAAGTACAAGATAAGAACATGGGGTACAGTAATGTGCAAGTGTACTACCACTTTGAAGTGAAATTTTCTTTATTTAGTAAGAAATATATGAAGTTTCACCAGGATCTTTTTGAATAGGGTTCTTTTTTATAGTTTTCTATTCCAACAAAATACTTGTGTGCATCTCATAGCGAATCTAATATGCTTTAATGGTTAGAATTTATAAAGTATAAAATCCTAGTGATTTGAAGACCATATTAGCATTCAGGCACATTCAATGTGGCGTTTCCCAGACAGTGTGTCACAGCAGATTTTCTGACAAAAGAGGCGGCTTATTGGTCAATAGGTCATTGATCTCTTACTGTGCTGCAGCTGAAGGAGAAAACAGTAGAGTGGAGTCCTGCAGGTCTCTGTGCAATCGGTAGAGCATCTGGGATGACTTAGTAACCCTGCAGACCACTTTCTGGTAACTCCTGGTGTAGTGGAATTGGAACGACAGGGGGTCATTTGGTCCAAACCATTACCCTGCTTAAAGCAGGGCCAGTGTTGCCAGACTTGGCATCTTGTGTGGAATCCCAATGCCAAATTCATGGGAGTTGCAGCGTGACCTCAGAGACAGGCAATATCTTAATGTATTTGCATGACAGGCATTAATGTTAAAATTTAGAAATAGTGTTCATAGTAAGCTTTTGGGGCGAAATAAAATTTCATGTTATATTTTATCACTTAAGTGCTGCTTCCTCAGTGAGTTTTTACATTTCCTAATCTAAAATACCAAAAAAGATAGACCAAATAATATAATCATTATTTATTGTCAGTAAAACCTGTCATTCAGTTATCTTCAAGTCAAGTATTTTTGGAAGAACTGTTTTTTTTACCTATGTGGTTTCAGTAGTCATAAGGTTCTGGAATTGTGGCTTTGGGTGTTGTGGTCTTAAAAGGTTGATATTTTATCTTTTCTAGGATTTAGAAAATGATGTAGCTTTTCAACAGGCAGCAAGAACAAGTCATGGTAGAAGACCCCCTGTAAGTACCTTTTAAAATACATTGCAATACTTCTCTAGAGTCCTAGCTCTAATTTTGGCGCTGGTACAAACTTATCTTGGGAATCTCTTATCTTTTTTTGTCTACTACTAACATGAAGATACAGACTTTAGTTATTTATGTGAAAAATAATTTAAGAATTAGCAGAGCACAAGTTCCATTAAGTTTTGGAGTTAAGCTAGAGCAAACAAGGAACTTTGGTTGGAAATGTGTATTCTTGTTTGATAAAATGAGATAAAACCATGTCAAAGAGCAAAATTATATATTCTAAAAGGACTTTGTTTAATATTCTATACATAGGATTACTTGCTCTGACATATAAAATTGAGATACATACTAGACAGTGGGATTTAGAAAACCGTGTGTTATTGTTCTGATCATTTTTTTGTCCATATTAATGTAATTTACAGTAATTTTCTTACTTTCATTTAGCTGTGACTTAATCTTATAACAGTTTTCAAAACTAAATATAAAGTTGGCACCTGCACTTTAGAAGTACGTACCATATGTCTAAAGAAGAGCTGGAACTGTCTAATTAATGTTACTTCTTTGCCAGAGTAATCTGGTTCTACAATGAGAATCTTTCTACAACAACTGAAGCATTATTTCTATGAATTCACTATAGAAACTATATAGAAAGACTGATAATTAATACATATGGTTATTAATTAGTGGGTGGCGAGTGTTTGTTTGTTTTTTTTTTTTCCCACCCAGGTGACAGCCAAAATTCCTGGTACATCAGCTTCAAGACCTTTAGCTACTGGATTTGGGGTATGTTTTTGTTCTGCTGGATTCTCAATGAAAATGAGGTATTTACCAAAAGATAAATTTCCCATTTAAACCCTTGCACAAAGTTAGCTCTTTTTATCTAAGTATTTCCTTCCAGTGAACTACATGTATTCATTAATTTTAATTAATTCACAACTCCGCACTTAGTCAAGGCATGGTTACTGATTTTTTTTTTTTTCTTTTTCTCCCAAATCATACTGCAAATCAACTTCTGTACTGCATAAGGCAGATTCCAAGGTATTAACCTGATTTTCTTGCAGGGGGAACTGGATGGGTTGTTGTTTGGGCTTGAGAAAGTTTTCTGAAAGTTAAAGTGAAATTAAGTCTTAAAAAATATGGGCTTTCAAATCACCTCTAGTTTAATCAGAAAAAGTTGGTTATATTCTTTGGTATACTTAACCAATTTTAACTCTTAAATAACTAACACTTTAACCCGGTTTGCTATGGAAAGAGAAGTTATGCACTAGTGATATATCCACTGTCCCCTTATCCCAATAAATTTTCATTCTGTTAGCCTGTCTCAGTCAAATTTGAAAAGGCAGTGTTCTTAGATACAAAGTTCCGTAAGTTTTATGACAAATAAAGAAGGGAGATCACGTTGCTTTAGATCTCTTATGCAGGTTAGCTGGGTAACAATTTCAAGAACACCTAAATTCTGTTGTAAGTCACTAAAATACAACCTTTACTCGGAACCTTCTGTTACCTGCTCTGGATATATTCCTTTTGAGACTGCTTTTTCTTAGCAGCTGTATTTGCAGATGTTTAGTGTAGTACCATGTTGTGATGGGAAAAGCTATCTTGTTAAAGGTGTGGACCAAAAGGCACTTCCTAAGGATAATAAAGACAAATGTTTATCTGCATTAGTAGAGCTAAAAACCTCCAAAGCATTGTCCAGTCCACAGTACTACCTGTTTCACTCTGCAGATGTGCTTCTCCTACACTCTAGTCCTTGTTAATGTAGATCAACCTTAGCAGAAAAAACAAAAACCATTTTACCCACCCACTGATGGATAGTGGGTAAAATACTAAAACATAGGCCTCTGAGTGGGAATTAGGGGAATTCTTTTTCGTGGCCTGAAACCCTTTATTTTTGTCTGTATTGTATATTTGTAGCAACGTTTAACACTTACTACTAACTATTTCACATTTCTTTACATTTTTAACTCTACTACAGAAGGACAGTATGCGACCTGTCAGCTAATGGAAAAGATGTTCATTGGCAGTTTTAAACTATATCTGTATTTATTGTAAAATAAATCTTCATGAAAGTATGACTTAAAATCTGCCCCTATATTAATCTCTTATCAGCTGTACTCAGAATTTTACTGAAGTATTTTGTGTAAATTACTTGTCAATTTAAAGGTAATAATTTCAATAATTTAATAATGGGAAGTACTGCTGCCTGAGATAAATTTCTATGTAATTTTTTTAAAAAGGTCTGACAGAAATATCCAAATACATAAAAAACAATGTTGTGAATTTGTGCTAACTGAAGTGTTCAACATCTTTCAATCTGCCAGGCACTTGCAGTATATTGCATATGAATAACATAAATGGGAAGTTTTCTATGAACTTATGTGAGAGTTAGATCAACTCTTAAAACTCAGTGTTGAGAAGGCTGTACATAACCTTTACAGGCTTCTAATGCTTTGTGAATTCTAGTTTCAAACAATTTACTTATTTTTGTAGTCAAAGACAACTTTAACTTCATCTATGGGAAGACCAATGACAGGGGCTATACAGGTAAAAGTTTCAATATTGACATTTTGTATTGATTTGGAACAATGAAGTTTTCTGATAAGTGTTTGGGTTTGATACAAGTATTTAAAAGTTCACTGAAATAATACAAATTATTACACTGTTTTAATTTGTCCTTTTTTTGAAAATACTACTGTCAGAAAGCATGAGGGTTGTGATGAGTATTTTATTTGAGCACAGGGTTGGAAGCAATACCAGTGTAGTACTTTTTAACACTTACTGACATGCAATGAATAATTTTCCATTGAAACAGGAGAGAGGTAGATTCTGGTTTTCATGTTTTTCTTATGTACTTATACTCTAATAAGAATCTGCTGCAATTTACTAATGACTTTCCCACCACTACCCTTAAGTATATAGACTTAATGTTAAATATATCTATAGCCACTATATTCTTTTGTGTCAGCCCAGATGGGAAACAGAAATTATCAGGGAGCATCAAGAGTAGGGCTACTCCCTAGAGGAAGGCAAGCTAGGAGCCTAGAGGGAAATCGCATGGCCAGCAGTGCAGGGGCCTAACCAGCCAGGACCCAGTCCACAATACCTGAGCAAGGCAAGTAGGATCCACCCAGAAATGGTGGCCATGTCCAACCAAAAGTCCAGAACATAAGGCAATATCATGGTGATGAGGCAGGTCCAAGGTCAAGCCAAAAAGTCAATGCATAGGCCAAGGTCAGGACCAATGATCACTGGCAAGGTCCATAGTGACAAGGCAAGGCTAAGATCAATCCAGGAGGTCAGTCGACAGGTTGAAATCTGGATTAAGGGACTCTGTGGCCAGGCATAGCTGTGGCTGATATGGAAACCAGTAGTCCTCCTGCAAAGCTCAGGCAGGGGTTTAGGGGCCAGGGTTGAGCTTAAATAAAGCTCCTAGACTTCAATCCTGGCTACTTCTGTGTTGGAGCTCCATGTGATGGGTGGCCTTTTTGGAGCTGGGCTCTGATGACAGTAAGACATAGGTTGATGTTTAGGTGGGAGAAGAAACAGGGGGCCATCCTAGACCCATGGGTGGGGTGTGTGGCTGGAGGCCTGAGGTGAGTCTGATCAGGGCCATTAGGGTTTATTAGTGCACTCAGTGACAGTGACAGGAAAGTTTAATAAGCTGGCATGGGATGGGGTCAGACATTCTTGTGTTGGGAAGCATTGTCTGGTAATAAGTTACAAATACAAAAAAATTGTAGTTTTTGTGTGCCTCTCTTGGTTTAGATAAAGTAAAACATTCTGATCCATGATCTCATAGGAGTCTCTTTATTGTCAATAAAAACTAAAAAAGCAACTTTTGAAACAGTGCGACAGTAAACTAGAATACATTACAGATTTCAAGACGAATAATTCTTAAGAATTTCCTAAAAATAAAAGATGTTTGAAATGAAGTATTCTGAATACATGTAAAATTTACACAAAGTAATAAGTGTTCTTTTGTGTCAGTTAGTTTACCGATAGTGTTTGCTCCTCTACAGTTATCATAGAATCATAGCAGAGCAGGTTGGAAGGGACCTCAAGGATCATCTGGTCCAGCCTTTCTTGGCAAAAGCACAGTCTAGACAAGATGACCCATCAGCAAGATGGTCCAGAGACAAGATGGCCCAGCACCCTGTCCAGCCGCATCTTAAAAGTGTCCAATGTTGGGGAATCTGCCACTTCCCTGGGGGGATTATTCCAATGGCTGATTGTTCTCATTGTGAAAAAATTTCCTCCTGTGTCCAATCGGAATCTCCCCGGGAGTAACCTGTACCCATTACCCCTCGTCTTTTCCATGTGAATCCTTGTCAAAAGGGAGTCTCCATGTTCTTTGTAGCCACCCTTTAAATACTGGAACATGGTGATAAGGTCTCCCCTACGCCTTCTTTTCTCAAGGCTGAACAAACCCATGTTATACGATGTATAATACTTGAGAAATAAAAACATTTTAAAAAATACTCAGTTTACTGATATGGTAACAACTGATTTTTGTATTTAAAGGTTTTGTAGTATGTAACTGATACCCGTACTGTGCACAATCTATTTTTTAGGAAGATTATTTTAATATGTCTTCCTTTTTATTTAAGGATGGGGTTGCTCGACCAATGACAGCAGTGCATGCTGCGGGTTACACTAAGGCAGCTATGAGAGGTACGGTTTGTAGAAATCACCAGCTGCCAGAGGGAGATGTTATTTTACAATTTTCAGTACTCTGTTAATTTTGCAGGTTCTTCATTTGATCCTCTTGGCCAAGCAAGAGGTCCTGCTCCACCTCTGGAAATGAAAAATTCAGACAGGTTTGTTCAGTTTTGCATTAAATTATTTCAAAGCATTAACAGCAACAGAAAACCCACCATGGGTAGAGTTTAAAAACATCCAGGCAGTTACGAAACCTTGAGGGGCCAAACTTTTAACTTTGTGGAATAATGCCACAAACATTTATGCATGTGGTTAGCTGACTTGCCAGAGCAGTTGGACTGACTTTCAGGAATGTCTGATTTCAGTGATTTCTGGTTCTGACTGTAGCTCAGCAGCCTGAACGTAGTTGTTGCCACACAAATGCTGTGATACTTGTATAGAATTGTGGAGGATTATGGAAGTGTGTGTGACAGGCGAGGAACAGCATGATTCATGCAGCTCTCTGGGAAGAACTTGGGGGAATTTTGCCTGCTGTTTCTCCCTGTTCACTCTGATCTTAGCACATGAGGTAAAACTGGGATTGTGAAAGTTTTGCAGGCTGGTGTGAATGTTGGGGAGTTCACTGAGAACAAGTCATTGAGCTTTTCAGTACAAAAGTTGTATTCCTCAAATATAGCTATATAGGAATAGGGAATCCCACTGAAATATTTGGTTATTTAACTGAGGAAAAAATCCAGCTGAATAACAACTTTTTATTAAAATCTGCATTTGCAAGCTATACTTCAAAGTTACCTGTGCAAATAAAGGTTCAATTAATTGCTCTTAATACAATATTTCATTTCACTAGATGTTTGATTTGAAAGTTTTGCCAGGCCATCTGTTTGTTCTGTCATTACTTCTTCTGAACAAATTGAGTCCATGAAATTTGCATGTCTGTCTTGTTTTCGTAAGAGGATTTATGTTTTCTTAGGTCTCTGTTCTCAAATTAAAAGTGTGAATGTGATATCTTTGGAGGATCTTCTCTGGGCATAGTTTCACGTTATATTTTCTTTGATGGGAAAACCAGTTAGTTGTGACGTGATACATCACTGTGTTGTTTTACTGAGAATATCTTGTGCAAAAGCTTAGTGTTTGCAGTTACGTTACTAGTGTTAATCCTTTTATTGTTATTTTATTTTAGTTCAGAAGAGAAGATTAGGCAGTTGGAAAAAAAAGTAAACGAACTGGTTGAAGAAAGCTGCATTGCCAACAGCTGTGGAGACTTGAAATTGGTAATTTTTCTGGATTTCACTTCACTTTTGCTATTATGTGAAGAACAATTTGTATAGATAGATCGTTCAAACTGACTTGGGTTCAAACATTTCAGATTATTAAAATCATCTTAATTCTAACTTTGCTATGACTCTTCTAATCAGTGATACTTTGTATTGCCAAAAAAAAACCTAGGAGCTGTATTTCTTGTGTATATATTTGTTAAGATTTCACTGTTACAAAAAATCTCTTCCCCATTATCTCCATTGGCCTCTTCAAATGGGTGTGATCAATTAGTCATAATGGCACAGATTTGCCCAGTCTAACCTATGGACTGTATGGGAGCGGGTGGCCCTTCTTCAATACCAGGCTTGTAATTGGCATCTTTGCAGCATTTGATCCTCAGATGTGTAAAGGTCTTGTCTGAGTGACATTCTGTTTCCTTGATGTTGCTTGGGCTTTTTGGATAATGTAATTTTCATCCAGGACTGGTGCGCAGCACCAGGGTCAATCTCACGTAAGCCACCTCCACAGTACCCTTCCATGTCAGGGGCTGGCTGGTGCTATAGCATCTGGTAGACACTATATTGCTTTTGTTGCACCTTACGGGGTCAGCATGAAGATGAACTATTTCATCTTCTTTCAGTCCTTCAGACAAGGGGACCTTCCAAGCTAAGCAAACCCTGAAGTGCAAACACCAGTATCCTTCATAGGACAGTGGCAATAAAGCACATTAGCCTTAGGTTCCAGTGTGTCAAAATAGCCTCTAATTCTTCCTTCTTAGGACCAAGCTTATGTTTTATTCCATATGCTTTGGACTGGCTAGCTCCAGCTCCTAAACTACTGGAGGCAGAGGAGGCTCAACTGTTTGAATTAATGAGATACATTGGGTTCTTGGGGATGTAGACTTCTTTTGTGCTCATCCGTTGCTCTCTCAAGTTGACAGCATCTGATCCATAAGGGGAAAAAATTAACTAGAGCTATGAGAGATGATGTTTCTTGCTCAGTCATCTGAGCTGCAAAAATTTTTTTAGTCTAGGAGTGTATCCTGTGGACGTATTGTTAGAGTACAAGAATGGGTAAAGCATCTTCCCTGATCTGCTTAATACTGTCCAATGCAGATCCTAGGCTAGATGGCCTTTGGTTTGATCAAATCCTCGTGTTTTGGAGACTAAGAGCTCCAAAATTCGTTACAAAGATTGCAAATGGTCTGTAATGGTCTGAGCCTTGCTGCAAATTGGGAAAATGGCACTCTTTGTCCATTATACACAATGTCTATATTTGTGAATCAATCAATAGATTTGTAAATTGTTAGCATGATACTGGCACAGTTTTGGCCCAGGCTAACTAGCATTTTTCTAAACAGTTCCTAGATATGGTTGAAGGTTACTATGGATAAGGAACTACTTCCAGCAGGCAGTTTGAATGTATTTGATCTGTTGTAGAGGGTATTAGAGCAATGTTGTGCCAGTTAGTAGTGGCTAAATAACAGGCTTTAGCCCATTTGATTTGTATCTAGTATAGATGTAATTAGTGAGTTCAAGCTGTTTGGACAAGTTAGCACTTTTAAAAAATGTTGTCTTTTTTTCTGACACAAAGGAATATTTATCTATCCACACTCTGATTGAGACAATTTCAAATATCTCTTTAGGTCTTGTGAAACATGGTGGGTACAGCATCATTTAATCTCACCTCAGCTGTCTTAAGTCTTTGTCTTTGTCTTTGCACTGAGATCTAGAATTCATTCAGATCTCAGGAGCCACACTGGACCCAGAGACAGTAAGGCTTTCTTAGCTTGAAGGGACTTCATATTGTCCGGTGCTCTCCACACACAGTGAAGGCCTCCTTAGCTCTTTTATGCAAGGTGATATTGTGTGCCTATGTGATGCTTCTTATAAGACTACATATGTTGTCCTTGCAATCTTATCTATATTTGGTGGATTTCTTAAGTAGTAATCCTTTATTTGCATGTTTCAGGCCTCCTGTAGGTGAGATATTCCATGTTACAGTGGCAGGAGCTGCCCTTCGTTTGTAGAGAAATACCCAGCATTTCATTAAGAAGCATACTTGGTTCGAGGTTTTCTCCTCTCTTTGAGACAGCAGTTTGCCTTTGGAACTAGTACAGCAAGAGTGTACTTTCTTGTCAATGATTTTATGTCTCGTGTAGTGTGAATATTTTCAAATACAGAATAGGAGATTTACCCTATTAGACTATGACTGGAAGATTTCAGTTGTCTTGAGGACTGTCTTTCAGGATGGGTAACATCCCATATCTTTTTGCCTACCACAAAGAAGCATTGTATCAATTGGTTTTGAGAAAAAAGCTGTCCCAGCTTTCTGAGTGCATTCTTGTTTCTCTGGTTAAAACACCTGGTATATGCCTTTCTTCAGTTTGCACAGCAATTCCAGTGATCCTGATCAAATTAAGACAAGATCAAACATTGATCATCTTGATTGTGGTAGGTTAGCCTAGACAGTTCTGATATCAGGATGATACTGTACTGTGTGAGGACTGCCTTTATGCTTGCACCTCCTAGGACAACTGTCTGGCATCGTGGTCTACCTCAGTCATACTCCTTTCCAATGATTTTTGGATTATCTGTTGAGCTAATAGCCTGATAGCTCCTTTGGAGAGAGGGATTTCACTTAGCATATCTTTGCCTAACAGTCCACAGTGTAGGGAGTTTACTTCCTTGGGGAGTTAACAAGAAGGCTTCTAACAGTGAAACTCTTGAGTCCTGAAGCGGGACTTAAGTCTGGTGTTTAGACTGGATGGGTCCATCCTTCAAGCCGACAAAGATCCTTTTGTGTTGCACTTCTGTAATAAAACATTTTTTTTTTTCTGGTGCTGATAGCTTCTGATCAGAGAGTATGAAAGAAGTCTATTCATTTATATGTTCATTTAGGATAAGTATCCTTGCAGACATATCCTAATTTATGTCCCATATAATGTCTGAATTTCACCTTCACTAGGAGATGAGCCAACCTGTTTTGTTAATTTTTCCTGAGCCTCTTGCATGTATGGCCAAGAACGTTCTTTATTTCTTGATGTCAAAGGGTTTCTTATGTAGATTATACCAGACCATTCTGAGGGTCCTCTAGGATGTTTGTGTTAGTTTCTGACAAGTCCAGCAGAATATCTTTTCCTGCAGAAGTCATCAAAGTTGCCAACTCATTATCTGTAAAACAGCCAAGTTGGATTTGCCTTCTATCATAAGGACTAAGAATCAAGCTGTATCTTGAGAAGTACTTCCTTCACCGCTAGCTGCCAAATAGCTACCTTGAGTGCTAGCCATTACTTTTTTTAACCATTGCGCCCTTGCAGAGGCATACAGGACCGCTAATGGCACTTGTAGACCTGTAGCATTACTTGCATGAAGGGTCTTGACACCAATCTGCAGAAGATTATCATTGGATAAAATAGTAATTTTGAAGTTACTCAAATTGTGAATGCACATATGAAATGCCACTTGTGCATAGATAAAAAGGGAAGCAGTTTACCAGCATCCAGAATTAGTCAAGTTATATGTACAACATACATTTGTGTAACATGCACGTTTACTTCCTGCCTTCACTTTCTTCCTTCCAACACCTTCTTACACTGGGATTCTGCAACTGAGGAAATATGCCAAGCCTAAATGCTCCCTCTTTTTCTTTTTTTTCTTTTTTTTTTTTTTTTAAACATTTATGTGCACTTTCTATGATTAATACAAGTAGAATAATCTTCTAGGGTCGTAAGTGATTATGGTGTATATATGTGTGTGACTATACTTCTCTAAAATTATACAACTAAGCAGACTTAGACAACTATGTCTAATTGCTAATTAACACCTTTCTGTGGGCTATATTGCTACTTCTCAGGCATTGGGTACAATCTGGGCATCTAAAGAAAATGGACATGAGTATATTCTTTTCACACTTGTTTTGAATGTATTTTTGCCGTCTTGGGTTAGTAAGGTTCAAGGCATTGCTAAATTCTAGTATTTTATTTAAGGCTCTGGAAAAAGCAAAAGAGGCTGGAAGAAAGGAAAGAGTATTGGTGAGACAACGTGAACAAATTGCTACTCCAGAAAACATCAACTTAGACCTCACTTACTCAGTAAGTGCTTAGAAATCTTCAGTGAGTGAAAGATGCTGGTAGCAAACCTAAAGAGACATTTCGGTGTTTGCTGAGTGTGTGTGTTGTAACGCTCCTAGCAGTGTACCAGATCAGATATGGTCTACATTTGGGGGTGGGGGAAACTTATGAAGATAAACTGAATGACTTCTTGAAGTTAAAAACTTAACATTGGGTTGCAAAGATCCATTTATGTCATCGAGTCTATTCCCTTACAATCTCAAGTACTAGAGAAACCACATAGTCAACATTAAGTGAAGAAGGATGCCTATGAGCATCTATTCCAGCTACCTACTTACGTACAAAACATGCATATCAAAATATAGAAGAGGTAAACCCTGTACTTCAAAAATAAATAGTCTAGAAAATGTAACATGCCAAGAGAAGAAAACAGGAGAGATCAGACACTGCCTTTGACTTGAACCATAAAGTGACAGAGAATGTATTAAATGAAATAGGACATATTAATATTCCTAAATCATGAATCTTAGACCAGGTATCTAGATTTACATTCTGGTTTTCAAATTAATAGTAGACTTTTTTTAAAAAAAGGCTACAACATAAATAAAAATGCTTAGGGGGAATTTAAAGTTGTACTCCAGGTAGCGCTGTAGAGAAAATTATTAACAATGAATACATTGAGTTAGGCAGACCTAGTAATTTATTTTATGATGAAGGGCAGAGTAAAGCTGGGGAAAAAATGTAGAGAGATTTTACCTGACACAAACAGAATTTCTGTTTTGAAACAGCAGTTTGGAAAAATTCTCTCTTCATAAACTGAGTGACCACAGGTAGTGGGACCGTTTTCCATATGTTGGAGTCATAAATTACACACAGTTTCTAAGAATTATCTTGTATGAATGTTTTTAATACCCTTGCATTATAACATTGTGTTTATTTAGGTCTAAGGCCAACTTAGCATGACTTTTAATGGTAGCTATTTAAGTACAAAAATAAAAGAATTACCTAGAAGTAGTAAATTTCAAACTTGTTTTCTCTATGTCAATGTACAAGAACAAAGGAACATTAAAGATGGGAAGCTTAAAACTGGTAAAAGCAGTACTTCCAAGGTAAATTAATTTGAAATTATCTATTATGAATTCAAGTTTATTACTGTTGAGAGAACAATGTTATTTTCTTGTACCTATAACTCTGTTTTTCTATAGGTTCTTTTCAATCTGGCCAGTCAGTATGCTGCTAATGAAATGTATGCTGAAGCACTGAATACTTACCAAGTTATAGTGAAGAATAAGATGTTCAGCAATGGAGGTAGGGTACATTCCAAAGTGGATTAAAATTGGTAGTCGGGCATTAAGAATAAGGACTTCATCTGCGTGGTGTTGACTCACAGAGATCTCAGCCCTCATGTCTGCCAATCAGAGTGGATGACAGATACTCATAATCTCTGGCTTGGTATAACTAAATGTGGTTTGGCTCTCCAACTCATGAAGTCTTTTCTGGCTAAGCTAAGCATAAAGCCAAATATATAATTTTCTCATGCAGCACACACTATGTTGCCTGCTCTAATACTAATTTTTTCTTTTTTGACTCAGCTTTCCCTTTCTGAAAGCTTCTTTTAGTATTTTGCACATCTTTGAGACTCCTACAGTGCACTTTTCTCAGAGATGCTTATTTACAGCTGTCTTCCCAGAGAGCACTGTAAATAATCTCTACCTATCCCTCAATTCACAATCAATATCAGAATACACCTTACACTGACAGTTTTTTCTAGATTTCATTACTACTTCATCTCCTTCTGAGTGAAAATTCACAGAACGCTGTTCTGTGCAGTGCTTCTTTAAAGGGCCACTGGTACCCTATAATGAAGACAAATTTATTAAGAAGTTGTTCTACTCTGTCACTTTGAAACAATTTTAAAATGCTGTAACTATGCTTTAAAAGGCTGTAACTCATTGACTTCTTTTGATAGGTAGACTGAAGGTGAATATGGGAAATATATATTTAAAGCAACGGAACTATTCCAAAGCTATCAAATTCTACCGTATGGCTCTAGACCAGATTCCTAGTGTCCACAAAGAGATGAGGTGAGTTTCTACTAGTAGGCATGGTTGTGAAATACAAGTTTTGGATACAGTATGATTTGATAGTTAAAAGTATAACCTAATCCTGATTTCTTTCCTTAGAATTAAAATAATGCAAAATATCGGAGTTGCATTTATTAAAACTGGCCAATACGTTGATGCCATTTCTTCATTTGAACATATAATGAGCATGTCCCCAAACCTGAAGGCAGGCTTCAACTTGATCCTATGTTATTTTGCTATTGGAAACGGTGAGCAAATGAAAAAAGCCTTCCAAAAACTGATTGCAGTTCCCTTGGAAGTGGATTATGATGACAAATACATTTCAACAAATGTAAGTTTGAACAAAATAAACTGTGTCTTTATATGGTAAATCAGGAGAAAGGGGGAGAGACATTGAATGCCTCGACTATACTGAATATGTAAATCGATGTGTATTTATGTATCTAAAATAACTTTCTTTTTACCAGCGTGAATTTAGTGTGGCAGTACTGCTCAGAAGTGTAAAATAATGTTGAGAACATGCAAATCCTTTTTTCCTCAAAAGATGTGATGTACATAAAATCCATACCACACGATTGTCTTCATAACGATTTTGTTGAAATTCATCTGGGCTGACTTACATAGCTCACTTACTGCTTTGCCTCCTTTATATAAAATTTTAATAAAATATTTATAAACTAAAATAAAGGGAGCAAAGCGGTGAGTAAGTTAATGCAAGTTATCTCAAATAAGTCCTAATGAAAGTTGTAATACTGTAGTGTTATTTTACAGAAGAAAATTTTAGTAAAGTTTACATATGCTTATTTTAGTTTATTAGACTTAGTTGGAAACTGGACTTCCTTTGTACCATGAAACCAGCAGCTCATGATGTTAAAGATGGGAAAAAGTAATTAATAGGTTTAGGGTCCCTCGTAGAAAGGTCCTCTCTAGAAAGATCAAGGCAAGCCCTTTATATTCTCTTAGCAATCTTCTTTTCAGTGATGCAAAGCTTCCATTTTCAGTCCTAATGATCAAAAATATAATTAGTCTTCAAACTATTTGCAGCTTAAGAGTAGCTGTTGCTTCCTATTGTCCCAGCATAAGCACATAAAATTTAATATATGAAGCATATTTATTTATTTATATTTATTGACAAATATGTGTATAATTTCTTATGCATCTTTTTATATGTAATTGATATATATATATAATTTCTCATTTTAGAAATTATGTAACAGTAAGGGTCATTAAACACTTGAATTAATTGAAGACTATGTAAGATCATTCATTGGAAGAAAAGCTTTAGACTGTAGAAGTTCTTTCTAAGGATAGGCAAGCTATAGTTTTGAGAGACATTCCAAGCTCTGTATTTTGTTATGAAGAGGTCAGAGAAAAGATCACAAAGTTTTCTTCTGGTCTTTATTTTGTATAAATCTATAATCTATCACCAATAAATGAGGAAGGGGTGGCTACCCGGTATATCTGCATTAGTTCTTTTAGAACTAACAGAGATGTGTGGTAGAAACCGTAAGATGATCGTGTGAGTTATTGTAATGAGAAGGTAGCACAAGTCCTCATCTGCTGAATAGCACTGCAGTTCAGCAAATGCTTAACCATGCACTTATTTTTAAGCGTGTGAGTCTTCTCACTGTGATTTGCAGCCTTCCCCATCTGATACACATGGCATTAACTACACCTAATTAACTAACAACCCTAATGTGAGCTATGACCTACATGAGCAGAAAACCAGGATTAAAGTGGTTGTAATGCCAAATTTCAGGGTTTTTGGTTCGAAAACTACTTTAAACTAAAGCTAGCTTTTTGAAATGTGAAAAGTAAATAACTGACATTATAGACTTTGTAATTTACATCAGTTTATGTTTACAGTCATATTGTCTATAAAATAATTAAAATGCATGTATACTGGCATAATTTGCAGTTGTTTTGTCCCCCTCCAGGATGATCCACATACAAATCTACTGATTGAAGCCATTAAAAATGACAGCTTAAGACAAATAGAACGTGAGAGGTAATGGTGGATTCTATTCTTTCTTGACTGTGGTGCCATGGATTTTAGCTCCTGAAAGTATTAACATTCTTCTCACGTGTCCATAGCTCTTGTTATAAAAGTGTCCTCATAATTCTTAGGAAAGAACACACTTGGAAGAACCGGTTGGATCACTCTGTTTAGTGTTCTGCACTAAAGTAGAATATCTACCCCAAATGCTATAGGTTACACTGCTTAAAAGTTGCAGCATTGGGTTTTTTTAAAAATACAACTACAGTGTTTTGTGAAAGGAAGACAGAAAAAACTGAGCGCTTTATCAAGCTTTTTCAAGGGCAGTAGCGGTAGCAGGGGACTGGTTAGATTGACTTCTAAGATTGTCCTGAGTGCAGGAAGAAGCAAGAAAAGGATTTGATTATTCTTTCTATACATGTTTTTGAAATGGTGACATGTTTGTGTGTTGGTTTTTGTTGTTTTTTTTTTCCATAGGAAATCCATGGCAGAGGAATACATCATGACAGCTGCTAAACTCATTGCACCAGTAATTGAGACATCTTTTGCAGTGGGCTATGACTGGTAAGAGTCAAGCGGGACTTCTTTTTGTCTAAACTTTATGCCAATCTCTTGTGCTGGTTATGAAACCAGATTCACAAACATAAACAGCCTAGGAAACATAGTTTGCTGCACATCTCAAACATAGCATCTAGGCTATTTTAAGTTTGCCTTCATAATGCTCTGGAGAAGAACAAAACAAAGCATTGGAGTCTATTCTGTGTTAAAAATTAATTTCATTGTATCATTGAAACTTGACTGTTAATTATACATTTGAACTGTTCTGTATTAGCACAAAAAGAGCTTCTTAAAGTTCGATTGAATTTGAAAATTCAATTTGAAAACTGAAGAACTTTTAGAAGTCTCGATAGACAAATGCTATACAGAAGGCAATGATCGCTACTCTTTACTGTCAGTTTGAAGATAACATAATGAAGACTTGGAGTGCCTAAGAAGTTTTCATTACCCCATAGAGTCATATAAAACACTGAAATCTAATTATTGTTAGAAAGGTTTATTTGCATTTCATTTATAAACTTAATAAATATAAACTTAATCTACTCTTTCTTAAACATTTATACAAGTGTATACAGTGGTAGGCTGCTGATACAGTTTACCATTTTGGCTTTTGTATCCACTTTATTTTTCAATTTATAGCTTAGCTTTTGTTTTCTGTGGTATTTCTACAGCAGAACACTCTTCTCTTTAAAACAAAATAAAATAGACATACTTCCTATAAGGACAGTATAAAATGATAAGTATAACTTTTCAAGATGTTTTTTTAACTAGTTTTTAGTTTTCTATTATAAGGACTTACTTTGATATTTTTAGTATTTTTAATAACGTTATTGGAATGTAAGATGTACGCAAATGAATGTTGTGTATCTGCAGCCACAATGTTACTAACAGATATGTTCAGTGTTTGGGAAGTGAAGGAAGTTTGATGGGAAAAGAGAACTTTCCTTTACCTGTTTTTTTTTCGGGCAGTTAGGATTATTTTCAAATTTTGCAGGTCCTATAATTATAATTTACTAATAAAGCTGTTTATACTAACATGAAATAATCTCTCACACAGACATGTTTCATCTGCTAGAGTCCACAAGGTGGTGTTTGATGGTTTAATAATCATTATAATCTTAAAATTTCCCTACTTTTGCCATTCTGACTTATCAGAACTTAAACAGTATGTCTTGTGAAAATTAGCTTGCTGCTTTATAACTTGTTAGCATTAGTAAGTCAGATTTGTTTGCTCTGTATCTTATTTTTTGTTCAAGAAAACTGGAAAAGCTTGTCAGATATTCAGTCTCCTTAGTGCTATCCACAAAATACTTGTCATGAAGTAAAACACACTTTCATATCTGTTCTGGCTAATTAAACAACTTCTGGTGAGATGTGTGGGATTGTTTTGTGTATATCAGGACAGATTTACTCTCTATTCTTCTAGGCTGAGGTATTCAAGCCCAGTGAAGAAGTTTAACCCGCAGTTTGAGCTTGGTTTTCCAAATACTACACTTTGTTATGAGTCCTCTGAGTATTAAATGTGCTTTTAATCAGATTAGTTTTATTTACAGAAATAAAGTGCGCACAAATAATCTTCAGATTTCATAACTTCTTACTTAAAATGTGACATAATCTCAGGACTATTCTGTCATATTCCATAAAGAGCAGTTGGATAGTTAGATCTCATTGCATTTTATGGTTAAAAGATGTTAACAGTAACAGTGGAAAACTGGTTTTTGACTTTTCTTTTATTACAGATGTCTTTGCAGAAATTGCTATTTTTTTCAGTATAATTTTTCCTCCAACATCAGAAGGCATTTGTATACTTTGTATAGAGACTGTCCATGTGCCAACCCAATTATAGCAGCAGGCAGTTTGTTAAATTAAACTTTTGTTGGCAAATTAGCCAACTATTAGAAGAAAAGAAAAAGGCTTTCCACCACTTAAAAAAAAAACAGTGGAAGGGATTAAAGAAGCATTCCACAAAGTTATTGGTTTAGTGTGCTTAATTCCAAACAGTTTGAGAGAACACTATATGTATACAATAAATAAAGGTCTTGCTTCAAATGACTAGGCAATTTTAAAGTACACCACATCAAACCCTGGAAGATGGTGTCTGTGAATGAACATCTGAACCATCTGCTCTGTTTTGTTCTGCCCTCATTTGGCAGAAGACCCAAAGCCAAAAGTAACTGGGGGACGATCGGAAAGAAGTTTATTATTATGACTCTATTATTATTATGTAGCTCAGGGGCACAATCTGCGGTCTCTGGCTTTGTTCACTAAGCTGGTTTATGGATTTGGTAGTATATGCAACAGGAGATCAGGTTTGAAAAATCAGCTGATAGAACATGTCCAAAGAAAATGGTTTGAAAAACGATCTTAGTCAATATCTGACATCAAGTATCACTCAGTGACGGAAAATAATCTGATATTTAGGCAGCTGGCTAAAAAAAATGAGAGCAGAGATAGTGTTATTAAGGTAGGTCATGGGGATAAAATGTTTTTTCAAATATTTTTAATCAAAGTGCTCTTTACCTCTGTAAAGAAAGAATAGCTCGGTACAACTCATTTTGGAGAAGAAATTGGCTGCAGAAGTATATAACTTAGTGGCATTTGCACAGATGTATTTTGTTTATCTTCATGGCTTTCTTTCTGTTGCAGGTGTGTTGAAGTAGTAAAAGCTTCCCACTATGTAGAGTTAGCCAATGACTTGGAAATAAATAAAGCCACTACTTACTTGAGGCAGCAGGATTTTAACCAGGTATAGTAACTTTCCACATTACTGCTTTTTAATACTGTATTGGCAAAGATATCTTTCTTAGCCACAGCATGTTTTTCAGCAAGGGAAAGAATGATTTATGCAAACATAATAATTATATTGATGCTGCTCAGTAAAATAACTATAAAAACACTGACAAGAGATGAAATTTATTTAAATTAAATTTCTGCCACAAAAGTTACAGTGAATGCAGTTCATGTCAAAATTAAGACAGCTAAATTTAGCTTCACTGGGTGAGAAGCTGTCATTACAGTTAATGGAACTGTAGTCAGTACAGTCAATAGTGTGAAAGCAAGCACATTGCTAATCAATGTGGAGGTGTTTTCATTAGTATGAGCGGAATCTTTCTCTCAGTTAAATTGACTATGGTACCAAAATATATGCAGATGCACTTCATATGTATCGTTGTTTATGCTACGGTATTCTCACTGTTCCCTAGGTACTACAGTGTTCCCTAAAATACTATAATCTGACCTTGAACTTTAGTCAACCCTCTTCCATTGAAATACAAACTGGAATTAAATTAAGCATCTGCTTGGGAGCTTGGACAGTTCTACATCTCTTATAAAAGATTGCCTGCCTGGAGGGCACAGAGGCTAGGATGAATCACCATTACTGAGAAGATATTGTAGCAGCTTAAGCCACATATATTAGCAAATGAGGAAGGTCATAGGAAAGATACAGTATCGGTACTTCCAAGTAAAAGTATAGCTCATTGCTCAAAATTCATTAACTGGCAGAAGTTCAGAAGATAGATGTACCAAAATCTTTGTGATTTTACAGTTTTTCTCATGCATATTATTATGTGTTCCCATTTCATTGTTTTGTTATATTTTTAAATATACACATGAAGTAACTTTTGGCTATGTTGAAATTATTTATGTATGTTTATGTAGGTAAGATCTCTTCCTGCAACTGGCCATCCAATCACTAGTTAGGCAAATTTCTGCCAATGAATTTTATGCTGAACTGCCTTCATGGTAAAAATCATCACCAATCTCTTGCTAATAAGTACAGCAGGCTGTTAACTGCAGCTTTCGTTTTCTATGCATATAAATTACCAATGTAGGTGTATAAATTAATACCACAATTTACCATGTTTAAGTTTTTGGCATTATCTAAGTGAATGTGCAGCTTTCTTATAACCTTTTATTTTAAGACAAATGCTTTTTTTTTGCTTTTAATCAAATTTTTATGGGTTGTGGTATTTATAATACCAGGTTTTCGTCCAAATTGTCATGTGATCTTTTCTTTGCCTGTGAAAAAAGGCTTAGTTTCAAATGTGAGCCGTTGGAAAACAGCTTCATCTGAACAAAAAGAAACTCAGATATCTGACAGGATTTTCTCAATTTCCTTCTAACATGCACTGTTTGGTACATTCAATGATAGGAATGCTGAATAAATAAGCAGGAATATAGCAACCCCCGGGTTTGCATGAGTGGCAAGAAGTATGAGAGATCGCATACAGCAAAATTACAGCTGACGCTGAATACCTCTGTCATCTTCTAAGGTCCTTCAGCTTGCCATAGCGTGGAGGGATGCACACAGGGCTACGTGCTTAACTTTAGCCCATTTTTGCTTCTCATATTTAAGCTCTCTGGTTTCCTGAGCTGCTCTTGCTCCTCCTGTCTGTCCTGTCCTCTTCTCCTTAGATACAGCAAGAGAGTTATATTATACTGCATGTCTGACCAATAGCTTTTCTGAGATCAGGAAGCAGTTTGAGAATGTGGAAAACTTTGGCCAAATCTAGTAGCTTTATTGATGATAGCTTTTGGAGGGTGAGAGTGTCACAGGTAGGTAAACAGTCATATGATCTCAAGAATTTACTAGTTTGATGGTAATTTTTTGCGATTTCCAGTTAGTATCCAGTATAGGTTAAAAAAAAAAAAATCAATTATCAGAGGTAAAATGAGATACAGAGATTGTTGGTGATGTTTCTGTGGTGTACTCCAATGGAGGGAGAGGGAAGGGTGTTGGAAGGTAGGAGTAAGTGGAGAAGATGCTCTTTTTATTTTGATTATGTGATAGAAGACCTTTAACCTGCGCTGGAACTACTTAATAGTAGAGTGGGACTGCAGAATGGTGATTGTAGAGAGTCTTTTTTTTTTTTTGTTCTAATAAAACTGCAGCTGCCACTTATAGTCATCCTGTCTGTTGTTCATATACTTACTAACTCACCACCTGCTCCACACACCTTTGGCTGAAGAACAAGAATGGAAACTTTTTGAAATATTCAGTTTCAAGGCTGAAAGTTTTATTGTGTTTCAAAAAAAAGAACTAAAATCGATTTCTGCTGTAACTATAATGGGCTTAACTACGTGCTCATCATAATGAATACGTTATTTTAAAACAGTCCCAGCAAAAAAAAAAAATTCAGGATGGAAATTACCATAATATGTCCAGATTGTATTTTATTAGTAATAAGGGGGTTTGTGTATTAGATATTTTGAATGTTTTCTTAATTTCAAATAAAAACTTCGAGAATTAATTTAAAAATAAAATTCTGCAGGTTAGCCATGCAGCTCCTTAACATCTCTGGCAGACCCTGCTTGGGTCAGGCAAGCTGCTTTGAAGTTTAACTTCTGTAAGCAAATAATTTAGGTACACTAGAAACATGTCACCAAGAATAATTTGATTGTTGAATCTAAGTAATTGTTATTGTTGGGATTAAAAAGTTAGAATTTATTTAGAAATATATAAATTTAGCTGATGATGCACTGAGAGCATTTCTGCTTTGCAAGGACAAAAGGAGTATTGCTGTGGATTTTCATTCTAGGGCTCATAATTGCTGAAATGGTTCAAGAGAACTGCAACTTAATTTACCAGTAAGTGAACAGGGTTCAGAGTCATATGAACTTTTCATTATATGTGAAAAAGAGATTACTTCCACTCTAATCTTTATCATCAAAGGTTCCATTTAGCAGTAAAAGCAAAGGTAAACAAATCGGCTATGGTTGGAAATGGCTTTTCAGAAAGTGACTTTGAACTATATAGCTCTAAGTTCACTAAAAATGAATCCCATTGTAAGAAATGCACAGCTTTTACTTGAAGAAGCAAGTCTTTGCTTAAGAGTAGAGTACCTCAGATATAGTAGTGTTACATCTGTAAATATTTGGGACCATTCCCTTTTTGGAGAAAGTCACAAATATAATTTCAAAGTTTAAAATTATCATAGTTGAAGTCTTACATTTCAGAGACCACAAAATCTAGAGCCTAACTTTGGAAATGCTTTTCTTGATTGAAATTGTTGTATTTCTTTAGAGAATTTTCTGTTATTAGGAGAATATTATGATCTTTAGTAGTTCATAATTCTTGGGTGGATTGTAGTTGACTAAATCAATGAACTATAGCTAGCTGTATATACTTTGTCATTTTACACGTCATTAGTACAGTCATGTTTTTTGTGTAAAGTAACTGTAAAAACAGTATGTATGACAGTCAATTAAAACTTGTTTCCTTTATATTTGTTTTGGCATTCTACATACCGTATCATACATTCACTTTGATATGTAAACAGCAGCTTACAGGTTTCATGTAAAGGAAGAAGGAAACTTTTGAATTGCTAATGTTGATGGCTAAATTGAGGTTGCCACATCTGTGTTGTAATAGATCACAGAACTGGGCTCACTGTGATATTCTACAGTTTGTGTAGTTAATATAAATATTTAGGGTAAAGAAGCCAGATTTTCTTAGTAATTTAGTCTGCAATTACAAATATTATCACATAGTCAATGAAAAAAAAAGCTGCCTTTTATTTCAAAGTTTCTTTGATAGTTATTAGCTATAAATTTGTTTACTTTTTGTCCATAAAATTCTTTATTTTGAAGTTTATTAAATCTAGTTTTTATGTAAAAGATTAAAAAAAAAAATCTTCTGGCCTCAGTCTTCATGTTTGAATACTTCTTAAACTTAGACAGGTGTCGTCTTATTACACAAAACAACTGCAAGTTGAAATCCAATCCTACACTGTCTTGCATATTTTATTTATATAGCATGTACTTTTTTAGCTTTTTAATAAGAGTTTTAATGTCAATCTTTCATGTTCACTTAAAGAACTGGAAAAATAGGTATGAGAATTTTAATTAGTTGAGTAGATTAAAAGCAAATAATATGAACTTGTGTTTTGTATGTATAGAATTGTTACATATCTGTGTACTTCAAGGTAGCCATATTTAATCTAAATTTTGAGGAAGTAATAAATGGCCAATACTATTGAAATTTTGTGACCAAGATTAGTACTATGTGTAATATTGAAATACTTACGTGTGTACATGCTTACAAGCATGTGTTACAAGCTCTAGTAGTTATCATGTATGTGAGTATATGAGTTGATAATTTTAGCTGTTTGTTACTGTGAAGTTTATCAATGCTTTCTGAAAGAATTTTTGTGTAAGTTTGCTTCAGTGGGAAGTAAGTTGTTTCTAAATTACTTCTAGGCATTGGAAACTTTAAAAATGTTTGAGAAAAAGGATAGCAGAGTAAAGAGTGCAGCTGCAACAAACCTTTCATTCCTTTATTATTTGGTAAGTGTTTGCTTCAACAAAACCAGTTAAGCACTGCAGTTTATGTAGCAACTTCTGTATCTGTGTAGCAATTTTTGTGCCTATCTAAATAATCTCTGTAAACAAGAAAGTGCATGTTAAAGTAGTTATTCTGGAACACCCACTCTTGGCTGTAGTTGAAGTTTGGAGCATGTCCTTTGTATCCTGTTGCTGTGAGGAAGAGTGAGATTGAGCCCCAGGCCACAGAAGTATGCTTGCAGTGTGATTTGTGCAGAAGCTCAGCAGCTGCATTTGAAACTCAGGTCCTGAAGACCCTGGCTGAACTTCAGGAACGTATGAAGTATGTAGCTTAGGCAGGTGTGTTTGTAGATGAAGTTTGTAGGGTATGGGAATTTATTTTTGTTTTTTAAAGAAATACTACTTTGTTGCAACAAAGACTGAATGGGACAGAGTGGCAAAACACGTCTCGAGTGTTAAGTTCTCTGAAACTTGAAAGAAATGATCTGCTTTATGCAAATACATAAGGAATATTTTAGGGCTAAAGAATGTATTATTTTTTTCATCCTCAATCTTTCGAAATTCCACAATATTAACTGTAAGAAGCCACAGCTGCAAGAAAATTGACTGACAAATGACTAATACAATGTTTGTTTTGTTCATGTAGGAGAATGAATTGGCACAAGCAGCTAACTATGCAGATTTAGCTGTAAATTCTGATAGGTACAATCCAGCAGCTCTAACTAACAAAGGAAATACTGTTTTTGCAAGCGGAGACTATGAAAAAACAGCTGAGTTTTATAAGGAAGCTCTCAGGAATGATTCCTCATGCACTGAAGCACTTTATAATCTTGGTAAGCCAAAGGTGCTTTTGTGATTTAGCTCTTGTCTAAAGATAACACTAGTGTTTCTGAGAATCTGGCTTTCAAAGTTTTCTTGTATAGAAATATATACTAATTATTTTTATTACTTTATTCAGTAATTTATGTTATAGCAAGGTATTAATTTGTATTCCTATCTGTTCTGCAAAAAAATACCAGTATTAATGACATCAACTAGTAATTGCAGATGATTAAGTCACTTTGAAGATAAAAATTTCTACTAGCTACTAAAAATATATCAGTTTTAGCATTATTAAACTGTCAGAATCATTCCCCTCTAAAAGCCCTCCCTTTCCCTCATTCACCTTGTTCAAAAAGTGAGATTACATCTGTTCTTGGTCTTTGATTAGGTTTGTGTTCCTTTGTTTATCAGTTTGGTAAGTTGTACTAGCTGGTAAGAATTATAAGCATGGCTCTCAAGAATAGAGTCTGTCAATGTCAAGGCAGTTACACTGCCTCTGAGTACTGTGTTCCTATTTCATTTTTCTTGGTTATTCTGTCAGTTAATATGAAGAAGTCATCTTTTTCTCATTGCATTAATACTGTAACTTTTTTTTTTTAGGTTTAACATACAAGAAGTTAAACAGAATAGATGAAGCTTTGGATTATTTTCTGAAACTCCATGCAATCCTTCGAAATAGTGCCCAAGTCCTTTACCAGATAGCAAACATGTATCTTTTTCTGGATTATGAGAAGGGATGGTGGTTTTAGTAAACCCATTTAATTTGAAATGTGTTTCAATTATGACACGACAACTTAGAAATTTACTGTAGTGTCCATTATAATTAGGATGATTGCATAGATTCATTCTCTGTTTTTTGTAAAAACGAGAACAGACATACAACCTTCTTGGACATTTCCAGTGAAGCAAGTGAAGAAATACACTAAGACTGTTCACATTGCAAGGAATACATTTACACTCAGTATTAAAGTGTGTCCTGGAACATTTTAAATGCTGCTGATTTTATTATGAAAATAATGTGGCAGATGTAAGCACAATTGAGTAAAACCTTTAAGAAAAAAATAATATAATTAATGAAAGTGAAGTTCTGTTCTGAAAGCTGTTTTCAGATTAATTAGTGTGTGTATGTGTAAGAAAATAATTGTCTCCTAGCACTGCAAAAGCTCAACAGATTGAAAAGCTGAGGAGGGAAGGGGTTGGCTTTGCACTTCATCAGTGATATTCTACACTATGAATTTCTTTAAAAATGCTTCTGAGGATGTCAAATCGTAATAAAATCCTCCCCAATCGCTGTACTACACTTTTAAGAATAGTGAAGGTAATAAAAATATATTTTAATCAGTAAAATAAGTAATCTCCAAAAATACAAAAGGGCTGTGATCTCTATTCCTTGCATAGCCCCTTTACAACAGCATAAATGGCCCTACAACTCCCAGTTCCCATCTGGGAGAGAAGAATTTCTCTGCTCCACTGCTATGTAAAACTGCTTTCCACCAACATTCACAAGCTTTTTCCATGAAGGGTAGGGTGCAGCAGAAGCTGAAAAAACATGTTGGGCAGTAGCTCCAGGTCACATTGCTGCAGAGGTCTGAGCCATTGTGCTGCTCAGGGGTGACTTGAGGAGGGGAGAGCACACTGCAGGCCTAATTACAGCTAAAGCTGTCTCTGTTCTCTGGACCAGAATCATATACTCTCTGTGCTGTGCTTCTTAGACACACAGCAGAAAATCTCACTGCAGGTAAAAGTCTGTTCTTGAGAATAGCAGTTTTACCTAATTACTTACTTTAGGACAAAAAAAAAAACAACTAACGAAGTTGTAAAGGCTACAAATAAATAGCCTGGTTCTCACACTTCATTCTTACAAATGAGAAAGTCAAAGTAAAATTAGTGACAGAGAGAGTGGAGAACTGAGCCCAAAGTTCTATTGAGCCCAAAGTGTTTTTAAGGTCAAAGAGCAGCCAAAGCCTCTAAATATTTCTCTTTCTTCAGCGTAACAAAAATACTTTCTGATACAAAGGAAATTATGAAAACGATGTGTAAAAAATCCCAGTGTATCTCCACACTACAGTGACTGGTGAGCATATGGATTACATTATGTAAAGTAGTAGGAATTCTGAGTAAATCAAAATATCATCGACATCAGTCCTTGACTGAAGAAAACTCAGATATGAGATCATGCAAGATCCCAATCAAGCCATAGAGTGGCTCCCTCAGTTGATCAGTGTAGTACCAACTGATCCACATGTACTTTCAAAGCTAGGGAAATTATATGACAATGAAGGTGATAAATCCCAAGCTTTTCATTATTACTATGAGGTACTTGCTCTTTATTGCTTTTCAATACACTTTGTCATAATTAAAGAAAATTTTGTCATAGGTTCCTATATCAAATTAACAATTGATTCATTTAAACTTTTTAAAATGTCATCCAGGGGGAAAAAAGAAAAAAAAAAAATTCTGGGGGAGAGGGAGTTGACAAAATCTTATTTTTGTAGTCAGATCCTGAGGAAACACATAGCCTGTGCTTCCACATGGTATTTGACCTCAGACATTCATTTTTCATATGGTCATTGTTTACATTGACCCCTAGCAATTTTAATTTAAAATATAGTCTGAGATGAAATAAAAAATGGATACAATAAATGTAATTTTAAAGGTGTGTAACATGACTGTGTTGATTGGAAGCCATATCTGTATAATAGATATGGATATATAAAAAATATGTTTGTGTTTATCTATGTAAGTTTATATATGTATTTTAATGGTACAGCTACACATTATGTATACACAGTTGCCTGAAGATAGGCATCCTTTCTCATTTCAAACCAGCTATAGGACTTTCTGTAGTTTGTAGAGATTCTTCTGTTTTAGAAACAGGAATAAGACAGGAACTTGCTTTGCTGCAATCTGAGAGGTTTTTTTATCTGTATAAACCAAGGATGACCAAAGGCTGTGTTGCAATCTGAATACTAGTGGAGTTGTGCTTGATGATAGTTTTGCTGCCTATTTCAGTGGGAATTTCTAAAAAGCCAAAAATGTTATTTACGTACATACGTATTTCATAGAAAAGAATGCTTTTAGGTGAGTTTTCCATCAGACTGATTTGAGTATGGAATTGTACACGTATTAGTTAGCATTGTTTAACATTTTAGGTAACTTACTCATGTAGACATCTAAGTAAACATTTTTGCTGTTGCGAACTATTTAAAATAATATTTCGAATAAGGCTAGATGGAAAATGTGACAAACTCATCTCAGGTAACTTCTAAAAAGCATTCTGTAATTAGAAAACTTGGCATGCCTTTTTTTTTTTTTTTCAGGATTACTTATTATAGCACACTACTTCCATTCATATATTACACATTTTTGGCATCTGGAGAATTAAACACTTGAGTAAGATATTCCAGAAGTAACATAAAGATGTTGTTTATCACTAAAATTATGTTTCTTTCACTTTTCCTATTTTGTCAGTCATACCGGTATTTCCCTTCAAACATTGAGGTCATTGAGTGGCTTGGAGCCTATTACATTGACACTCAGTTTTGTGAAAAAGCCATTGAGTACTTTGAAAGAGCAGCACTAATCCTGTAAGTAATTATTATTTTATGCCTACTCAAATATTTTGTGATTAGACATCCATAAGTATACCTAGAGATAAATTAGTTGGATAACTTTAATACTATAAGCAAATACCAGAGTTAAGAATATTTGGGATATTATTTAATTTTCTCAACTTTCTGTTTGTTTACAGTGTGGTTTTGCTCTTACTGTGCAATTTCAATATTAAGTAAGGTCCTCCCTTGGGCCCAAGATAGTATTGGGTGTTAGAATCTCTTTTCTCTGTCCTCTGCCATTAAACACAGCTATGAAGTGGGGAACAGCTCTCTTAAGCCACCAACATCTCCTTCTGTATGGCTTTATGTGAAATATTTCCTTACTATTACTTTATCATGTGGCATTGATTTGATGGTTTAGATAAATGCATCTTTTAGCAGTTCTTGTTGCATTTCCACTTTTCACGTAACTTCTGCTCCCATAAAAAGGTTATCACAGATAAGGTGTAGAAGTAAGCAAAAATGTGCAGTGAAAAATTACCAATGGTTAGTGAAAATAAGTTGACAGATCAAATTGATCCTGATAGAGATATTTGAAATGTATTGAGTTTAGTTCAGCAACTTAATTGCTGAAATTGTCCTTTAGCAGAATATGATGAACTTAAGAAAGTATATAGGCCATATAGAATCATAGAATCATTAAGGT